ACAATGCAGATGCATTTTTGCACAAAGAAGCCCTGAACTCATGGTGCCTGCTTCTTCCCTCAGACCTGATGAAGAATGCCTTGCATTTAAAAATTTGTCTAACTTTATCCCAACCATGCAGTTGGTCCAATAAAAAATATCACCCACAAAAACTGTTGCCTCTCTAATTCCTGGGTCATTACAGCTACATCACTCAGACGTTACCTGCTCCTTTTCACTCTGTTCTTTCCTGGGGGGTTGTCGAAAAAGAAAGAAAAGGGATGGGGAGGAGACATTTAGAATGCTCCTAAAATCTCAGGGCTTTCAACTGTGAGTGTCACTGCTCCAGCATCAAAGCACTCAAAAACAGAATACACTTCCATCCCCAAAACAAGAGGTTTTGCTTCCTTCTTGCACAGAACTGAGGGAGAGAAAAAGAGAGAGGAGGAGAAAGACAGAGCAGAAAGGCACAGGAAGATTTAGGAGGAGAAAAAGAAAAATAGTTTACCATCAGAAGACACTTAACCTTTGGCTTTTCAGGCAACAGTCAGACAGGAGTTGTTGTGATACCAAAGCATGGAATTTTTTTTTTCCCCCAAAGAGACGCAAATAGGAATAACATCAAACCTAGAAGAACAAGAGGCTAAACTAATAGATTTGTTCCAGGAAAAGGGAACTGGTTATTTTACCTTATAATGAAGTAACATTTTACTGCATGGTCAGTTTAAAGCAGCAAAATCTGACATGAGATTCTGTTCCATTTCTTGGTGTTTGCTATGAAAACCTTTCAGATACAGACCAATTAAAAAGCTTCTAGACCACTTCCACCTGAAAATAATGTGTAGATGTTAACAGATGTATATTTAATCAAAAATGCCATTGCAGGCAAACTGACCTGTTCTATGTTTCTGTAGCATACAGTTTCCTGACATGTCTGAGGTGCAGCAGCAGTTGGTGGAGGAGGTGGACTGAGCGGTTCCAGGGTGTCATTAGTTTTGCTAGTTTGAGATGAACTGGATGCCAACAAGTGAGGAAAAAGAATAGAGTTGGCCAAATAATTTAACTGTCTTGTATCCTGAAAATCTTGGTTATGGTGCACGTTATTTGATGAGCTACCTCTGCTGCCTATCATACTGTTGTCTGGTGAATAGTATAAGGGTGCAAACTGCTCTCTGAATGACTCACTCGTGTTGTTCATCCAGCCCGACAACAGAGAAGGCATGGTCTTCTCAATTATTTTGTTAGGAGACGGCACTGGCTTTGCTGGATCAGTCCCCTGAGACATATAGATGTTGTCCTTCAGAGCATCTGCTTCCATGTCCGGCTCTCTGAAGTCCATGTTATGGACGCAAAATAAATGCAGCAGAAAACAAGCATGTAGTGCTGAAGCAATGACCACTGTATGTCCTAGACATTGCTTCCATATATATATAAATCACAGATTTTTGTTCAAACTGGAAGCTAAGGATCTTCTGTCCACAAGAACTGTAAACAAAACAAAACAAACAAAAAGTCACTGTAATATCTAATTTTCTACTAAACCTTAAGGACTTTCCAGCTCAGCTCTCCTTTCTCTAAATAAAGCAGCACTATTTGGGGAATAATATTATAGGCAAGGCTCAAAACACTGCCTCTTACTATGGTTGCTCAGTATTTCCCATTAAGTTTTCAGTTGCTTTATATTGATGCCAACACTGGAAAACATGGGCTGAAAAGTTTCTATGCCACATGTCTGCCTCAGATTGAAATTTAAAAAAAAATTCAGCCACAAAATGTATAGCTGTTTTTCCGAGCAAGATGAGAGGGGAAAATACCTTATCTTTACCATGTTAAAAATCTGCAATCATTTTCATAGTTCTGGGAATCCCAGTATTTGAAATAGAGATTTTAAATTTGGCAATGGGGTGGCCTTAGTATCAGGGACGTACATTTTGCTATTCCTGTGAAACTCCATGTCAATTTTGTCAATTTATAAGTCTCTGAAACATCTGTTTGTCTCTGCTTGTTGAAGATTTCTTAAATTTAAGCAGTTAAATTCCTCTTACATACTGAACATGCCTGAGCCTCTCTCAGTTTCTAGAACTGACATGAATGTATATACATTATTCCCAAAGAGTAACTGAGCATATTCCCTCCAGCCAAAAGATATAAGGGTGAAGTTTGAACTTTCCCTGTAATAGCTGCTCTGGGCTAGGATAAAGTAGGGAATCTGCCTCCCCTGTTTTCTTCATGGCTCACTGCTACTGGCTAAGCAGTGTAGAAGAGAAAGCTGTCTGACTCAAACACAGATGGGACCAGAATGAATTTAAGAAACTGAGAAAAGAGGGGGAGAGGACAGCCTGGGACAGGGAGCATGATGGAAGGCTGGGACAGGATGCCAGCAAAAGAAAAGAGGGAAGCTACAACAATAAGTTAAAGGAATGAAGAACAGACAAGAAGCTCAGGAAATGATACTGGGACTGGGAACCCACAGGGATGGGAAGAATAGGAAAGGGAATGTAAATGGAGATCAAAAAGTGGAAAGCGACAGATGAGGGGATAAGGTGGAAACTGGAACTGGAACTGATAAAAAAAAAACAGAGGAAAACAAGGAGCCACAAGCAGGAAGGGGAGGATTGGGAAAGCCTGAACAATGAGACAGGAAGGGAGGCACTAAGCAGAATGTATGAGGATTTAGATGCATGGTATTATCTATCAGGCTTTAGCAACCACTGACCACCCTTAAGCTAAACAGCAGGCATGGGCTTAAATTTTAAGTTCAGTTGGGAACCCGCCCCTAGAAACTCTATTATTATGTACTTTTTTGTATTCACGTGATTGTTGTTGCTGATTATATGAATGGTTGTATAGGTAAGAAACTTTATTTCTGTGGCCTCAGTCCTATACAGTGCCTCCACTCACTCCCATCAAGAAAACAGTTGTAATGTCACAAATGACTGATTCAGTTAGAAAGGGAGAGGCAGGTTAGAGAAATTAAACCTGTTTGTACAGAACACCTTTGCTGGCAACAACAGACACGGAAGTACAAAACATTTAGAAAAGTCTCATGCTGCTGTGTTTGGGATTTTGCATATATTGAGCTGTTTAACTTAAAGGAATGTTAGTAACTGATATTGCAAGAGACAAGGATTTCTTAGGGTGATATCTTTTATTGGACCAACTGCATAGCTGAGCTAGAGTTAGGCAAGCTTTTCAATGTAAGACATTCTTCATCAGGTCTGAGCAATGACAGCTGTAAGCAGTTGTAAGGAGCACAGGAGAAAAATTACTGTGTTGTGTTTACTCTCACTGCTCAGACCTGATGAAGAATGTTTTGCATTCAGAGGCTTTTCTAACTCTGTCCCAACTATGCAGATTGTCCAGTAAAAGATATCAACCGAAGAAATCCTTGCTTCTTACATAATTCCTGAACCACGATGGCTACAACACCACAACAAAAGGTTGATATGGTTGTGAATTTCGTAATTAATTAAAAAGATCTGACCAAATAAACTCATCCATCTAAGTGATTTCCAAAGGGGGATGCATAAAATCAAGCTCCTAAATTCAAACTTACATTCAAATTTCTCAGAACATGTACATCTCTAAAAATTACACTGAAGTCAGATCCTGTGCGGTTCAAGTCCCTAAAAAAACATAAACACAAAAGGTAGGTACATCCTTCTTCTTGCCACTTTTTGTGACCCTAGTCTTAAGGCTAAGAAGACACATTACAAAATTAGATGTGTTAAAGGCTTTTCAAGGCTTTCCTATTGCACATCAGAGTGGAAAAGGATCCTATAGAGACATCTAAGTGCCACTTGCTTAACATCTAGAACAGGATCTAGCCCTAAGTGTTCAGACATCTGGAAGTCAGATTAATTTAAATAAAGTGCTTAAATAAACTGTTAGGAGCCTAATAACAGACACCTGAAAACTGTGCTGAAGTTTCACAATTGCAAATGAGAAAGATTATTGTTCTTATTTTATAGATGGAGAAGTGAAAGAGCAATTGAGATAGACTCAAAGCTACAAACAGCTTGGAGCCAAATACTTTTTTGTTGCACACAAACCTTTGCTTCTAATAGACCCTCCAAAATCATTGTAAATCTAAGGGACCTGCTAAGGAGACACCAGGACACCTCCCAAAAAGTTTTTTTCTACTGGAGATGGTGATCAGAAACTTCCATTTTCAAACCCTACACTTCCTTTTTAGCTAAATTATTTATACTACAGCAACTGTAGTAAGCCGATGCACATGAATAAACAGAATAATGTTATATAAACCAACAGTAATTACTAGTATTTTAAGCGACATAGAGAATAACACATCCAACAAACATCAAAGTATTGGTCTGAACTTATATTCATAACATATTGTAAACTCCCACTGAACTAAGCAATAATCCTTCATTAGCAGTAGTTCTAGTACTAGTAGTAACACTACCATTTCACCTAGGACCCTCAGTCATGAACCAAGACCCCATTCAGAACAAAAAAAGGATTCTTGCCCAAGAGATCTTACAATCTTAAGTACTCAACTTTTACTATATTACTTTACAGATAATGAGAAAGAAGAATATAGATATACACACTAGAAACATAAAAAGGACTAACTAACATTAATTCACACTGGCTTCATCCAGTTTCTAAAGACAGTCTAAAACAGTGATGGCCAACGCATGGCACATATGCCACAAGTGGCATGGGCAGTCAATGTGTTTGGCATGTGAGCCCCGGGGGCCAAGTGATGGGAGTTAGGGAAGCACTCAAGGAGAGGGAAGGGATTGGAGCAGCAGCTGGGAAAGGGGCAGGGACTGGAGCTGCAGTTGGGAAGGGGACAGGAGGTAGGAGGTCAACGTCAGTTAAGGGTTTGGTCCCTTGGGAGCTGAAGGGTCATGCCTCCAAGTTCAGCATTGCCCCACCCTTGTTGTGGCAATGGGATTCTGTGGCACTAGGTGACAACAGTGGCTGATGAGTGATGATTAGAGGGGCACTAGCTCATATTTTGTATTTATGGCATGCTTACCGAAAAAGTTGGCCACCACTGGTGTAAAACATACACAATGAGGTGTCACATTTCAAAGCAGAAAATATTTTTAAACACTGAATAATTTTCCAAAAAAGAACTGGCTCCCAAAGGAATCCTAGTCCTTTCCAGTAGGCTGATTAAGAGGCACAGCAAGACAAGCAAGAATATCTTAAAACCAGTTTTCATAAAATCATAGAGTTTGAAGGGGTCTCCAGGATCATCAAGTCCAACCCTCAAAAAAACGTTTTCTCTAATCTAGTAGTGTTTTAATGTGAATGAAAATAGAATAGGTTTGTCACTGACACCATAAAAACCCTTAGCTTTGCAATTACAATTCAGACAGACTAAATAAAAATGGACTACCACAAATGTCAAGCTTGCTTACATTAGCAATGGTATGACCTTCAGACAAACTAAAAAGCACTGCTAAAGTAGATGTTAGATCCATTGTTTGTTGATGTTGCTTTTAAGATGGGTTCATTATTGTGACCTTTGATAAATAAAGTCTGATAACTGAGATGGTGCAAATCTGATCGTTCCATTTTTTTCTGCTTTAACTAAAGCTGAAACACCTGTGCAGAAGGGTCTTTTTTGAAGAGATAAGAAATAAAATGGTCAGTTCAGAGGTCTGACTGTAATTTCATCCTGCTCTTTCAGTAGATTTTATTTTAAAATGCATTACCCAATTCATGAAATTTCACATGCCTCTGGATATACCAATATTGACAAAACCCCAAGTTAGCTATTTTACCTGCACGGGGACACAACATAGTTTTGCTTTCTCCTGAACTCAGATCACTCATAAAAATTCTGTCCCTAAAAGGGGCCACTAAGTCATTTTAGTGTCAGCTCTGTGCATTGTAGCAGAAACTTTCCTACCCAATTTTTTAGAACACTGCCGAGTAATCATGATTTTAAGTTGGCAATTGCTAGAAATGCAAAGTGAGTGCAATGGCAGCAACTGGTGTTGCAGGTGTGGTTGCACCCCTCCTCCCAGCCTCCCCTCCACACCACCAGAACAGGAGAAGCAGCCAGGGGCCTATATCCTGAGAAAGGTAAGAATTCCCTCCCTCCCTTCCCCTCTGTACTTAGAGGCACACCCCTCCTCTCCCTTTCCCCACTTCCCTGCCTGCTGCTGCCGGGGTCCCTACTGTCTGGAGAGTGAGGGGAGCTTCTGTCCCGCTCCAGCTGGGCTGCCAAGGGGCTGTGCTCACCTGGGATTGCAGCAGCAGCAGCAGTGACAGACCGACACATTCCCCCTCCCTGCGCCTGCTCCCAGGGACAGCAGGCAGAGAGAAGGAACCTACTTGCCTACTGTCGCTGCCACAGTCCCAAGCTTAGTCCAACCCCCATGCAGCCCAGTTGGAATGGGCAGGAGCTCCCCTCACCCCGGGACAGCCTGGCTGTGGCAGGCTGAGGAGTGGGGAATGGGAGGGGAAGGGATGGACCTTTGTATTTATTTTAATTGTAA